GCCCGATGGCTGGAATCTGTAAATCTGTCATTGCAGCCATATTCGTGTGGCTGGTACCGCAGGATATGAACTTCTGCTCGTCGTATACGCCACCGTCGTACGAGACACTAGATCTACACGCTTCTCTTCTTTTGAGAGCTTTGCACCGAAACGGAAACCTCTCCCTATCTCTCGAAATAACAAATGTTCTTTTTGTTTTTCATAAAATTGACAAAACCCCTGGGAAAGTATTTCCTTCTATTCTCTTTAAGTATTTCAAGATCACAAAGAGAGAATTTTATAATTATAGTTATTTCTTATTCGTTAACGTAAGCTTATTCGTCCCACTTAATGTATGAACTAATCTTCATTTTTGTCGAAATATTATGAAGAAAGGCTTGAAAACCAATGAAAGAACTATGTATCAAAAAATTCAATCATTGTTCATTCATCTACACTATTCAGGAGCTTTCATCCTTTTTGTGTTCCAGTGGCTGGTTGAAAGTAAAGCGCAGTTCTTGTTGAAGGTTTAAAAACCGTTTGGTTATATCAAACTGCATGGAAACTATAAAAGCCCTGGCAGTCGTTGCACGTATACGCAGTATTCCCTCTGGTAGCTAGCGATGACGGATTCATAGCCCGTGGGATAACGCAAGACCTCACCCCAAGATGTTTCGGTTTACGGATGCACGCTCTTCCTTGCTTTTTCTTCCTATTTCTCGCCTTTTTTTCTTCTATCTACTGAGCGATTCATTTGTCGGTCTTTGATCCGAGACCAACAAGCTACTACCGGAAAATTAGCGAAATTTATTAAGCAGTCGCTTTCTCTAGACTGCTATCTGTCATTTTATTCTCCTTATTTCTAGCGCAACCTGTCGTTTCATCTTATACGGGATATCATTCAGTGGATAGAATCTTTGTTCAAAGATACCGTATTTGGGTGGTCGAAGGATAAGTGACAAATTCCAGATGCTTCGTTGGGAGTCTTTTCTTCCTTTTTTTAAGATAGAACGCAAAATTTATATAGATTCATGAATATTACAACGTTGAAGTAATTATTATTTTACAGATATTTCTGTTCGATCCTCCACTTTCTATCTTCTATGATTATTTATTAAAAAAATCTTTGTTTTTTTTTAGACATATTCATAGCTATACTTATTAACCGATGAATTATCATTATAACGTCGCCGGTGTCCCGCTTATCGAGAAAGGCGTCCTTTTAAGTTTCTGAAAGGTAGATCTTCGAGAACAGCTGGTTCTCGCGAACAGCGGTGCCACCAGCAGCGCAATGTCAACTAACCCCGTCAAGGGTTAGGGGTTAACTTCCACAGGACTAGTACCTACGAGGAAGATGAAAGAATGAGCGAAGATAGGCCGACGGCCGCCCCTTTTTATTACCGGCGCCGTCACGCGTCACCGATAAGCGCGGTCTCTCTGTAGACGAAAAGTCTATGCTTGCACCGGTTCTCTCGAAACATGAGATTTCATCTTCCCTTCTTTACTTCTGCTTTTGCCATCTCCAGTTGAGAGAAAGTTTCATTTTTTATGGACATGTGTCGAAAATCTTGGAACACGATCTGCTTCTTTTCAACAAGGAGTAATAGAAACGTGTTAAGAATGTAACAACTGGCTGATCATCTGTTTCTTGATGTTTTACTCTGGCTAGAAAGGAGCATTGGGTTAAAAATCAAAGAAAGAAACTGCAAAGGTACAAATTGATACACACACATTCAAATTAATGCAATATCAATTTGAATAATAATAGTTACTTCGCTCGTTTCAATCCAGGTTTCTGCTCTTATTTTTATTCATTGCGGAAACATGTGCGGGTCATGAATGACTGCAAAACGTTTTGTGAATGCATGAGGGAAGATGTTCACCGAGAGTCATTAAGGATACGGTATATAATATGTTTACACAACGAGGTTCTTCGCGTCGCCATCAATCATGGTGCACGTCGGTCCATCCGTTTTTCTACGCTTAGGAACCGACAGACTGAGACGCTCAAATTCTATGCTACTTCGCCTTGTTGGCATTAGATTGTCATTTCTAACAGTCCCGATGTCAAGTCGTGTACATACTACGTTTATGTGAACGTCTGGTAAAACAATTCGAGCAAACATTTGAAAACTTCTTTGACAAATTTTGAAAAGAGCAGTTCGAGAAAAAATGTTCACTTATATACGCGTCATTCGACCACAAGGAAATCACGGGAAAAGGAATTCGTAAGAGGTTGTGAAATGGTTAACTTTAAACTCAAGTACTTGGCTTTAGATTCTCGTTTACTTTATAGAGTTTCCATTTTTTCGAATACGTTGTGTAACATAAGAAGGCAAGAAAGTTTCGAAACACAATGGTACACGATACTTGGAGAATAATTTATTAAGGCACTTAGTAGCCAAGCTCTCTCATGGGTTGTCACGGTGCGTTTACTTTCCCGTCTTGGCTCGAGAGCGTTTTAGGCTCGTTTGGCATTTCAGACACCCTGTATAAATAGATGCACTTTGCTCCTACAAAAGGCACTTTCTTTCTCAACCAGTCCGCTACGGACCTACGACACCACCGATTTGTATCACGCGATTTGATCATCGTGAACACCAATGGATCTTTAATTTTCTCTCTTGTACTTTTGCAAGATCCTCTAGTAAATCATTATTTTAATGTAAGCATCTTCGATAAATCTTACAAATATCCTAGTATTTTACATATACGAATCATTAAATATTAAGTATTTTTAAATAAATAGTAAGTACGTTTATGAAAATAATAATGATTTATCTAGGGACCTTGCGTCACGAGAAGTATGCCATTATCGATCGTATCATTACTCTCAATTTACAATTGTTCTTTATATTTTCTTATCTACAAAGGTACACTATATATAATTTAAGTAACTGTATATTATGTATTTAAATCTAATCAACATTATCTTTGGTATAACTTTGATAAGTGTTTCTCGTTATTATTTCTCTATTAAGGCACAATTTGTTAAGCTTATACTTCGCGTAATACTTATTTTCTATCACGCGACGTATTATGATAAAACTTTGGCACTCGATTAAAACCAAAGCATCATTTTTGGCTATTCTAGTTTTAATTAAATAATTTTATCTTCTTCGCCTTATAGATACTTTCATCGAGCAATTTAGCAGTAAGCATTTATCGTATAAAAATCTACTTTGAATCACAATCACAATTGTTCACAGTTTCACCGAAACTTTCATGAATTCCCAAGAAAATAGAGATCCGAATTACCGTGGCCCATACAATGAGGGTCCAGTATGGGGATGATGAGGATGCGCAGGATAGTGGACCGAATTCATGTGTGCAGTTGGTTGTCCATGGTGTCCAGGGTAAGTCCAAGGTCCTGCTGCGGTCGCACCGTAAAATTGATGATGTTCTTGGCTCGATATGCTTGGAATTTGTACGGTGGGTATCGTGTTTACGTAGTTGGATGTCAATACGCTGGCACTTCCTGTTGCAGGTCTCTTTGCAGGATTCTGCATACTTGAAACTGCGACAGAGTCACACTCATCCGATTCACAGTCACGAAAACCTTTCGCAAATGGATTGCTAGCAATTTTGAGTTGCGTGATACGATGATTTTGATAAGCTGTGACCGCAGTGAATCGCGTTTCCGGAAAGGTGAATGTTTTGAAATTCTCCGTACGAGGATCGGGAGCGGAACCCGGCGGCGATGGTGCAACCACTACGTGACATCGTGGCTGATATCTATGCATCGAGTTCAGGATTATCTGTAACGTAAAATGATAAAATAATTGTTACTTATATTGGATATATAAAAATTTAGGTAAGAATTAATTAAATTCTTAAATAAAATTACTTATGAGAAAGTATGTGAAGCTTTCCTATGATCTTATGGTGTAATATATTATTGATACACAGTGGTCGTAACGGGTGAAAAGAAGCAAAGAAGAAAATGAATAAAAAAAAGCACACGTGAGGACCTTCTTCCTCTTAGAGGAAGGACAACCGCAGGGGGGCGGTCACAATGTTTGACAGCCACAAGAGACTCGGTGACTAATTAGTGTAAAAACTAACCCCCGATTCTTTCTGGCAACCCGACACCCTCGTCATTCCTCTTGCACACCGGCATATGTGAGCTAGGGCATGTGTTTCTTTGAATACACAGAAAATGGAGTGCAGAGGGAAGGAGGGAGGAAAAGGGTCATCCTCACAATACAGAATATGTGTGTGGCCTGATACCGGCAACTAAATTTTTTCGGATATGCAATTTTGGTTGCCATTGTTTCAACATTCCACTCGTTTATCTTCTTAAGATGATCCTTTCTGATTTCCATTTGAAGTATTTTAGAAATTAAAGTTTGCGACAGAATTTTCTATGATTTTCAAACTTGTTTTGAACTCTTTTCTTCGCTGAAAGCATTTGAAAGTACAAAATCACCAATTAAGAAACTGAGATCGTTGAGCGTTTCAACGCTGGATTCCAACTTTTTTATAAAACCCGGTGGCACGTCTTTCCAAGCGCAATTAAAGGAACAAACTGTTCCATAGCGCGTGAAAGAAGGGTCACCCTCCACGAGTCAAAATTCTTTCTGCGCGAAACGCAATAAATTTTCGAACGGAACGCGAACTAAAGAGTCTCCGTGTTTTGAAAGCGTACGGTGTTCGTCAAGAAAATCCGTCCGATGAAAATAATCCCGTATTTTCTTATCTGCTGTCGAATGATATATGTGCAAAATTTGTACTGTTTGTCTCTCGTAGTTGAATATTGAGCCACAGATAGAACTTAGAGAAAATTTCCGGATGCGATTGATTTGCATTTGGAATAATCGATCATACGTTGGACAACCGTGTGATCGTGCAATTTTTGAAATAAATGGATGAGAATTAAGAGCAACCAAATTGAAACCAATCCGGGAAGGATGAGTTGTGACATCGCGTTTGGTGGATATTATGACAGTTCGAAGGTTGCGCACACCCGTTCTCTCACTGATTAGCGACTGACGAATCAACCGAAGGTAAATTCATTAATCAGTATGCCAATACGCCTCAACACTGAAACACTTCATTTGCAATGGTGCCTGACACGTTGAATTTGGCACGGATACGTAGGGACGATTATTTTTGGCACAACCGCAGGTGCATTAGGACATAATGAAGAAGAACGAGGGTTAAGAAGAATGGAAGAATTTTTCGAGGTTCGAGGCATGTGAACAGTAGATTGTAACAAATTACTGTTCACTGCTTTATACTTTCCCTGATTGCTTGATGCTACCTGTTCCGTAGCATACACGGAGTAACAGAATAATTTTATATTAGCTAATTTTTTAATTTTGTGAAATTTAAGTTTAGCATCAACTGCAAAACAAATTTGTCTTTCACTCTAGGTAATTGTTTGGCATATACTGTCCCCTTAGTTAGAATGTTTTATCTAGAGTTGATAGTAAAATAATTTTCTGTTAAGTAATTTTTTAGTTTAATGAAATTTAAGCGGTTGGTTAAGTAAACCAACTTCCCAAATAGCTATATACTTTCACATTTATAATTTTCTACGCTATAAGAATGAAGAATTCTTTTACGCTGGTAATTCTTTTAAAAATCGTAAACACCAAAGTTTTACCGTCTTTTCCCAGGGCTTCCACGGCTTAGTTTATATTACATATGTTTACATTACTTTACGTGCGGTATAGTTTCTATTGCCGTTCTGCGTGGCGACAGGAGAACAGGATTAATAAGGCGCGGACAAGAGAAGATGTAAAGAGTACACAAAGTGGGAGTGTGTTCAGTAGAAATACGACGAAAGCTAGTGATAGAGTTCCAATACTAGCAATTACAATCCTAAACTAATATTCAAATCTATATGTCAATGAAATAGCACGAAGTGGTTTACTATAATTTTCCTAATTTAATTATTTACAGCATTCATTTTTTATAAGAATAATCCTAAAGGAAATAAAGTCAATGACTCGTTTCCTTAGCGATAAAGCTTCATCTGCCAACAAGACATAAATCTGAACAACGTGTTAAAACAATTATTGCTACTAATTACTCGTAAGACGATAATAGCTTCCAATGGAACCATGCTTCATTGTCGTACTATGCAGCGTAGCCGATTTACTGTTTAACGACCGATGGTTTTTCGTTCATTCAACATCCATTCAATTCATTTTTGCGCCGGATGAAATTATTCAAGAAATACGAGTATGCGTCATAAACGAAATCGGATCTTTTTACGGTCGGGATTCATTAAACGTAAAAGTGAATCGTTGAAAGGGAAAAAGAAAGAACGATGGAACATTAAAAGACGAATTATCTCGTAAAACTTTACCGCGTGTCGGTAGCACCGTTGTAATTTCTCGCGGAAGACAGGCTCGTATCTCAGGTCAATTAAGGCGAACTCGTCCGTAAACGACAAACACATGGAACGCGATACTACAGCGGAGACTTCCCTTGCATCCCTCATTCTACATTATATTGCCTAGGTGTTTCTCTTTTGTGTTACTTCCATAATGAATTACACTGCTCTATAATCATTTCGGTTCGCCATCCAAACATCTTCGCGATAAAGCAAGTCTGGTTTCAGATTCATCGTTTAAAGTTTAAAGAATAATTATACAACAAGAATAAGCAAGATATCACTCACATGTCCGTTGTCGTCGAGTTGATTGTTAGTCAGTTTCAGTTTGTCGAAGGAAACTGGCTGCTTCATCCAGTGAGCTCCACTCGCAGGACTGTCAGGATGTACGTGAATCCTGGGGGGTGAAACTGGATCCGCACGACCAGCAACTACCCAAGCGCTACTGTGAAAAGCGTATCTGTACCTCTTGTCGTCGCAAGGTACAAAATCCATCACTAGAAGGTAGTCGGTAGTGGGGTCCAAACCGAAAAATCGACACTGTAAATTAAGGATTCATTTCTATTAGACAGGCACGCAGTCTTTATCCTTTTGTATCATGTACAGTTAAATATAAAAAGCAACTATCGTAATACTTGAAAAGTAGGAAACATTCTTCTTCCAGCTTTAGTGACTATCATTTCCGTTCCCAATTGATGAAATTCTTCCCAAAGGGGTTTCGCTTCCAATGCAGCTCCAGCACCAACGAGAGCAGGATGAAGAGGCCTCTTCGAGCTAGCTTCTTCCGTCGAATTTGCGCCATTCTCGCTTGGATGATGATCGCTGTGATTATGATTGTTATTGTTGCTATCATTACGAGATTGGACAGCAGTCGATGAAGAAATCGATGAATTCGTGACGTGCGGAGTTAGGGATGCCTTCGATGAAGTTGGACTGCGGGATCGTTTCACTCTTCCCGCTGATTGCAAACATGCTGAGATAATGTTACAGAATATTAAGAGAAACATCTTGGATATTTTGAATGACGTTCGTGATTAAGAAATGATGAAAGTACCTTCCATTTGTTGCATTGGGGACGGTACATTCGTTATAGGTTGAGCATGATGACTCTGATGATGAGAAGCCCATTGCTGATAACAACAATCGGCGGTAATATCGTGTCGTTGATCATGTTGCTGTTGCATTTTTACCGATTCTTAAGTTTCATCAACAGGATAGTTCCCTCGAAGTTTTATGCGTGGATTTACTTTTTGTTTTATCAAAACTATCGAACTATAACACTAGGTTCACTTATAATTGCAAAGAATCTTTCCTTTAATTACATAATGTTTTGACGAATGTTAATTGCACAATTTAAACACAATCACCCAGTGTTCCCATAATAAGTAACGAAACTGTCACAACACGTATAAGCACTTATAAAATTTCTTTTACTTTTGTTCGCAGTGTTTTCGTTGGTCGAGCAACAGATACGTATAAAACAATCGGACGACACGTGCAGATGGGGATACCGTTTGTCGACGTCGGAACATAGAAGGAAAAAAAGGAATCGGTGAACGAGATTCGTAGAATGCTTATCTTTCGTAACCGCTCATTAAGCGTTTTGAGGCAATCAGCGAGATTCGAGATCCTGAGCGAATATCAGAGGTTGCTCGACATCGTCGACGGGCTCTCACACCTCTCGTCAACAGGACTTGTCTTCACCTCGAGATCCGAACGCTGACAAGGTTTAAAGCCGTGGCGTGAACGCGGCATCGGATGAATCAGAAAGAACTCCCCCGAGTCGACTACACCTCGTGGCTTATCATCGAGACATCACTCTCCGATCTATGCCCTCTCTCTTTTCACAGGAATCTCCTCCTCTCCTTTCTGCCGGTTTCCTCTCTCTGAGGTAAAACCGATCGAGAAACGTGGAGAGGAGGATCGGGAGGAAGGGAAAGTTTCCACGAGGAAGGAGGGGTTTCTCAAAGATCCTCCTACGCGGACACCCACGCTAGGCTAACTTGCGTTCACAAGATGCTAACTACATCCTCTTCCTCTGAATCCCGTGCCAAAAGGCGGAGTCTTCGAGGACGGGGCAAACACTCGGGGGTAGCACGGTGCACTCTCAGGGACGAGGCTCGTCTCTCGTGTACCTCGACGTTAAACCATCAGGGTTAATTGATTACAACGAGGTGTTGATTCGGTGATACCGCGTCACAACGATATAAGTTAATTTTCTTTACGTATTATTATTCTTTCACGGTCTTCTTTGTGGGAATCTGTCTAATTATGTAAACCTATTCTTTTCTTTCTTCTTTTAAACAATCAAACATTCGTAGCAGACTTTAGTTCAACATTAAGTAAACAAGTGATTATCGATTAGACGATCTACATATATAGATCTTTATCTTTTTCTTATCAATTACGAAGTTAGATTATCTGACCGTTATTTAAAATTTTTTATGTACATATTGTTTTTAAATCGAAGCACTTTTTGGAAGAGAATTTTAGAAGTAGCAATTTAGGGGAACCACATCATTTTTTAGCCAAAAGTTCTTCATTCCTGTAATACATCGCATCACACTAATTGGAAAAATGTTATAAGTACAAACATCTGTATATTCTGAAGTTATTATATTTCCAATTCCTGTAATTATTTACAAACGGTAGTTGTGCATTACTTTTATTACTAGTTTTAAAAATCGGTGTTCGTTTAGAACTTTAGAGATTTATTATTAGCAGTTCGTACATAACATAATGTCCACCATATATGAAATTTCGTCATTCCAAAACTTCAAATATCGAAATATGTATCTGTCTTGAACTGTTAAGATTATCGAGTGTCTAATCAGATTGTACTTATTACTTTAGCATGGACCTGAACCTATATCGATTTAAGCTGCTAAAGTATCTAATCAAATTAATAATAAAGTTCTGTATTTGGAAAAACGAATAGATTTGTATAATTAAATATGTTTGTATTACAAATTTGTATTATTGGACATTCTTTTCGCAACGATATGATTAGTAGTACCAGTAGCTTTTCAGGTATATATATGTAAGTACATACGTATAAAATGTCTCGTGAACAAATTAAGAATCGGACAGGATGATTCTATAAAGCATGAAAAAATGGATATATATAAGATGGTGACTAAAGATATTAAACATAACTGAGAACAAAAGAGATAAATGAATGCTTTTTTGTGAGTTTTATTTAGAAGATAGAAATTAATGTACAAGTACAAGGGAGGCGGATGACAGGTGTTTGTTGCGCTAATTTTTACAGAACAGTACCTTATGATTTCTTCTTACATACGATTCGTAGTGGTGATATCACTGAAAAATAGTTTTACGACCTACATGATACATGAAGTGTATGTCAAGGGACTGAACAAGATCGATAATAAAATATAAATGTGGTCACATGAGATTAGTTAAATTATTCCCGACAAAAGGGACCGTTAATGTTTATATGATGAATCCTTACAAATCGGGGTTTCTTCTTACATTCCTTGTTTTTTAAATTGTATGTATATATATGCATAACTTCACTACTTGCATTATACACATTTACAGCCTGCTTTTATAGTAGTTCTATCATTACCATTTCCTCCCGAAAATTAGTAATGCAATGCATGTCATGAAGAATCCAGTGAAACTTCACGGATACACGATACTTTGTATATCATAAATTTATTTTGGGATACAGGTATAAATAAGGAATATATATATGTGTATATATATATATATATAAGTCTTTTTTCTTTTAAAAATATTCATTGAAATCGATTTTTACTGAACAGCTAAAACATTCTGTTTTTTTGCGATTTATAAAAATTTAATTACAAAAGCACATTCTACAAAAACGGTCTCTTTATGAAAGTCGTATCTGTATGTTACTTACAAATTTTGTGCAATTTACAGAAATATAACAAAGCCAAAATTATGTATCACACTTGGAACTTATGTCATTAAGAACCACTATGTATTCGATAGTATTCATATATTATCATTAACATAAGGTAGTTATGCATGCCATCAAAGCGAAGAAATAGCACAATAAAATTGTGTCTAATATTACATCAATTGTACCATGCCATGATATTCTGATCAGTGATATTGCAATTTCTAAATGTTTATTCTATAAAAACACCGAAGAAAATGTTAAGCAAAGAATTAAGAATGAATTCGTCATGAAATTTTCTTGTATTTTGTAACAATACTTCTAATAGAATTTCTAATCTAATCTTCAATAACTGAACTTACTGTTAATTTTTTATAGACACCCATTTAATAGCATTTTTCCCCTCTTTGAACTGTTCTATTTTAATGAAGAACTTCTTTGTTTATCTTTCGCTTAACAAACTACGCCCCTCCAGGATTTTCTTTTACTTAAAGTGTGATCATTAATGTGTGAGCGGAATTCATGATAAATTCGAAAATAATATGGTAATAGCGTTGATAATAATAGTAGCGATACTAGGAAATAATAACAATAACATCTTTTCTCTTACAAGAACTTAATGTCTTAAAAGACTGAGGGTTTTAAGGGAGTTATTTTGAAGTTCTAAACGTTACGTTCAAAAAAAAGGATGAGAAACAAATCTAAGGATTTCACTTCTTCTTGCTTTTGTTGTTTCCACCGCCTCGTGGGGGAGTCACTGGTCTATTTGCATTCAGGCCACCGTACGTTAATTTCTTTTTGTCAGCTGGTTTTAGAATTTGGAAACTACACATGAGAGTTTCATCAACGGACATCATAGCTCCAGCATTATCGAATTCGCCACAGTAGTTTGGTGCTGAGAACAGGGTAACTAACTGTCTCTTTGCAAAAAATTCATAGCCATCTTCTACCACCTAAAATTTTCATAGATTTTTACTTAATATTTTCAGAATTTATTGAAATTACACAATCATAATAACATTTGAAAAATAAAGTCTTGCACGAATAATATACTAAAATTAAAAGTTCTGTATATGTCATGACATACATACCTGATGAGCACGACAAATAAGGTCAAAGTCATGCTTATGTAAAAATTTGGCAACTACTTCAGCTCCAAATGTAAATGATACCCCACGATCATTTTCTCCCCAACCCATTGTATCTTTGTCTGGATCAGACCATAATAGATCACACAATAAGCCTTGATCAGGTACATCTGTTGGTCGCATAATACGTCTGATCTGTTCCATGTTTTGTAGATCTGGACTAAGGCCACCATGGCAACAAAATATTTTTTCGTCAACTATTGCCGCAACAGGTAAGCAGTTGAAACAATCCGTAAATGTTTTCCATAGTTTAATATTGTAACGTCGTTTACCTGAATAATACCAGAATGTAAGGATTAAGATTCAAACATTTTATAATAAGCTACATTTAAACGTAATTTTTTACATTCATCATAAAATCCATATATCCTATTAATGGATGCACATTCATGATTTCCACGAAGTAAAAAGAAGTTCTCAGGATATTTGATTTTATAGGCAAGGAGGAGACAAATTGTCTCTAAAGACTGTTTTCCTCTATCAACATAGTCTCCTAGAAACAGATAGTTACTCTCTGGTGGAAATCCACCATATTCGAATAGTCGTAGTAGATCATAATATTGCCCATGAATATCACCTTAAAAGTAAAATTCGTTTTGTTTCTTATTGCTTGAAATATCTTGACATACATACTTATATGTGCATAATAAAATAAAAAAATGAAGTATGAATTATAATAAAAAATAACTTACCACATATTTTAAGCGGTGCTTCAAGTTCTAACAAAATAGGTTGTGATAAAAAAATTTCACGTGACTTCAGGCAAAGTCCTTTTATTTCTCCTTCTGTTAATTGTACATTTTTCCCTGGCCTGGCTCCCCGCACTATAAGATTAAAATATCTTCATGCAATAAGTACAATGAAATATAATAGAATTTATTCTCAAATTTTATAAGCAGCTTGTAAATACATGATAAAAAAAAAAACTTAAAAGAAAAGTGATTTTCTGTACAACAGACATAAATAGCAGTCCCTACATTGAGAGGACGCAAATCAAATATTCAAGAAGTTTAATATATATCCATCTTTTCGTATGTAATACAAAACTATACTTTTTTTTATAACATTAACAGTGAACAACTTCTTGAATGAATCAGTTTAATTTATTAATACATTTTAGGATCCTTTTATAAATAATAGAGACAAGTAGAAGTAAAATTAAAAATTACAAAGTATATCGCAGCAATCACTCAAGCTCAAGGCAAGAGTCTTATCCAAGAACTAGTGATTTCTATTACATTGCCAATCTCACTTCATGTAAACAAACAATTGTCGGTTTGTGTAAAATATTTAAGATCGGTTATATTTAAAGATAGTTGCGTAATCGATCAAAGAAACCAGATACCTAAGAAGAAGATAAAAGAATGAAAAGAAAAACGAAAGACGCAATACCTTCAGCCGAATGTTCAACTAAAATTGTAAGGGACTACGTGTTTGAAGAAGTTATAACAAAGGGTGACGCGGGAGACAGTTCAGGTCCCATCACCCCCCTCCCCCACCCTCAAGGAGGGCAAGTGAGCAGCTTTACCTTCCAAGAGCCGAGCTATGATGTTGTCAATATTAAGTTTGTCTGATTCAGCCATCGGGCCGGGGTTTTGTGCGCGTCCCGGGCTTCACACGGAGCACCTTCTTTTGGGGATGACCTTTGATTTTCGTGGATTTCACTAGTGTGGCAAGCTGCACTCAATTGCATTCGCGGTTTCGGACAATGTACCCGCAATGGCCGCCCGGACAACCGCGCACTCCACTCCCTTTTACCCCCTCTCTAAATTCGAGCTTTTCCTGTTCGATAGAGTTCGACTAGTCGATTTATCGAACAAACCAGAATATATACTCGATCATACAATTATTACGAAAAGGGAAATATTAGTAATATCGATACTATCGATTATTAGAACAATCGTAATCGAATCTGTCAAATTTCTTCAATTTAGATCTAGTAATTAAAAACTATTAAGTATACAAATCAAATTAATGCATTTTGTACTTGTATACTCTAGAGAAATTTTGTGCTAAACAAATTGATAGTGAAACTCCCTAGATTATTTAAAGTTATTTCATTTATTGAAATTTATTAATTTTAATAAATTGATGGATAATATATTTGTAAATAATTTTATTTACAGTTTTAATTTGAAAATTCTTCAGTATGTAGTTCTTATTGCATAGGGAATAATTATCATTTCAAACACATATCTACGAGTTATCATGGAGGTTTATCATACTACATCACAGTTTGGTATCAAACAGGTCGAAGTTAGTGGTATTTGATTCGTGGTCGCATAATCTTTCTTGTAAAATTGATAAACAATGCCAGAAAACGTGGTAAATATAACATTTATTTTTATAATTCTCTCTAGATTATTATTATTCAATACAGTAATGAATAAGCTTATTGTAATTTATTTAAAATTTTTCAAATGACGCTGTAGGTTATATTGTCGCGTCTATAGAAACAAAACACGATCTTATAAATCGTATACTTTTAATTGATTTAACAAATTTTATTTTCAATATCCTTTTTCAATATCCATAAAATACTCTGCGTTGATTTATAGCTAAATGGAGATCATGTTGATGTGAAGAATGTTAACTGTGAAACTCAAGAAAATGATGAAGAAACTAACGAAGTAGACGTACATTTTGAACCAATAATTTCTTTGCCATTAATAGAAGTATCTAATAATGAAGAAGATGAAGTTGAAATGATAAAAATGTAAATTCAAATGTCAAGAGTCATTAAAATATATATTATAAGTTTCTTATCTAATATTTGTGTATATTATTTTATTTGTAGGAGAGCAAAATTATATCGTTATGATTCTTCTAATAATCCAGCAGAGTGGAAAGAACGTGGTACTGGAGAGGTGAAGTTATTAAGACATAAAACAAAAAATACAGTAAGAGTTGTAATGCGTAGAGATAAAACACTTAAAATTTGTGCTAATCATTTTGTAACTCCTTGGATGGAATTGAAACCCAATTGTGGTAGTGATAGAGCATGGGTATGGAGTGTACTTGCTGACTATGCAGATGAACAACTTAAGCCAGAATTACTTGCTATAAGATTTGCAAATGCAGAAAGTAAATATATTATTAATGAGCAAATGTACAATGTGGATAAAATTTAAAATATCAATTATTAATATAATTGTTATTGATATTTTTTGCTATAGATGCAACTGTTTGGAAAGAAGCTTTTGAGAAGGCAAAGAAGATAGTGGGCTCTGAGTGTGAAATATATGCTGGCAAAAATAACACTGAAGAAAAACATGTTGAGAGTGATAGTGAACCTTCTAGTGATGTAAGTTATAGTGAAAGTACTGATAATGAAGAACAAGCTAACAAATTGACAGAAGGAGATTTAAAAGTTGAGAGTAATGAAACTGAAAAAGTGGAACCCTCTGAAAAACAAATAAAAGATGGGGAAACTATGGAAAAAGTAGCTAAAGAACTTGAACAATTGCAAGTTAAGGGTGTGGAGGAAAAGAAGTAAAAATCTATATCTCTATGAATTAGAAATGCTAACTATAAGTGCACATTCCAATATAAACATACATGCATGCATATGCTTAAATATTTGATCATTGAATTTAATGTAGGAAAATATTTTAACAACGACGTTAATAGACAGGTTGAACAAATTTTCAATTTATAAATAAGACGATATTTATACGATCGTTATATGTTATAAGTGATTTCTTAATGAAGGATATTTTAGCATTTATACTATGATGAACAAATTGACATATGTTAAATTCATCAGAAATAAGAAATTAAAAAGTAGGACAACTATTTAATCTTGAATATGCGAGAATTTATATAATTTGAAATGTTATTCAATTTTTAAAAATACTACTTATATGTTTTTATATATTTTGGTGTGTAATAATATTAAAATTTTAGTATTTATGGGAACATTATTTCTAAAAAAATTTGGAACTGATCTTTTAAATATTTTATTTCTTTTAAACGTTTTCTTCAATCTTTTCACATTTATATAAATTGCAGTCTGAAATATTGGAATGTATGCAGTACAGACTAATACCTGTATCGTTTTAAGTTATAAAAAATGAGCTGTAAGATATTGGACTTAAAACGATCAGTGGATATTTGATTTTAATATGACACTATTTTTACAAAAGTATACATAACAAAATTTATAATACTGTACGATGGTAATTTTTCATAATTCGTCTCTGTATAAGAAAGAATGGAGGATATTACGTTTTTCTTCCATTGTGCGTTTCTTTTCATTTGATAATTTCCCTTTCAATATGCCCTCTATTCTAGTTTGTTCTGTTTGAACAAAAACGTCTCCTCTTTCTAGTATTCTTTCCATAGTTTTAACATAAACTTTTGCGGCAGCGCGTTGCGTTTCAGGTAGTGTTCCTTCAAAGACTTTAGCTTTGTTTAATATCTCCTATGAAATAAAAAATAATTATAATTGCATACTTTTATAATAATTTTATAAATTATGTTATTTATGTAATATTACCTTTCTTTCCGTTTCTCCGCTGGTCCTGAATTCCTCTGCAAGTCTATCTAATTGTTCCACACAACCAGGGAGACCAAGATATATTCCAGACTTCATTTTAATAAATCGCTTAATACTATCCGCGGTAAAATCAGTTTCTTTTTCTGCAACGAATGGAATTGGTTCTGTTTTTCCTTGAAGAAATAAAAGAACAGCGGGAAATGTTTTGGACTTTATTTTATAGCGAGCGGCAAGATCAGAATTATCTTTATTGCCATAATCCTTCACTCTCACTTCAGCAACCAATAGATCATGAGAATCTTTCGTCCCTGCAGCTATTTGCGCGTACTGTTCGTGTTTCTCTCCATACGGAAATGCCACATCGAATTTAACAATTGCCGCTTTGAATTTCGGTATCACCTATGTCACAAATACTTTATTTACTATACGAGCATGGAATATTTTTTATAAATATCTCAATATAATAAGATATAAAATATCGTTTGCATAATAGTATATCTAAATCAATATGAGATTCGTAAAAAGCAAACGGTTTCTGGTAATCGAAATAGTAATACTTATTAGTTCATTTGCTTTAAATAAGATACTAAATAATAATATATTAAAATACACTTATTATTTCTATGTTGATTCATTTATAGATATTATATTTTTACTTCATAAATTTTTTTGTTCTCTAATGTAACTAAGCGTCCTGTAACTATGGGAACAAATGGTCTAATCAACAAGGTAAAAAAAACAAAAGAATCTAGTAAGTTGATTTTGTTCATTTTCGAACAACTACTGGGTATATCTTACTTGAAATAAATGTAATTCAACAAATAAAATGAGTAATTCTTCCAAGAAACGTACATTTAAAGAGATTAAGGTACCTTGTCAAAGGAATAAGAATCCAAAGAAACACATCCTTTGCAATCTTCGGCAGCTGCAATTCCGATAACAAGAAGTACTACAATTGACGGAAGCATGTTATAACTGATGGGAGACTATAACTTTTTAAACGTCTTTTTCGCTTAAGGACCGGCAACTTAATGGTCAGAATTCCTTGGCTTTAATGCGATACGTCTTGTGTATTAGTCAGTTCTTTGATTATTGTATGTTTTGATAAGGTTACCAGCCAATTATACGTAAACGTAACTAAAAGAAGAGATGCGCTTTTTATCACTTAAAAAAAGTAGATTCGTTATAGAGAGCTTTTTCCCTAGTTAACGTTCAAAACTAACCTCAAATACTAGAGCACGAATACGGCTTGATAAAATACAGGTAAAGAAGCAGATACGGCGCTTTGCCGTCGTCGAATCAGAGAAGGACACGAAACCGCGCGTTACAGGATGTACCTACGTCATGTCAGGGAACGTAATCGCAACTTGTGATAATTTATATTTACACGATATTTTGACAATTTTCTATACAAAAAAATAGAATGTAAGAGATCTGCTCTTTCATCTTAATACGTATTACATATTTGTTAGTGAATGATTTAATTTGCACTTTTAATACAAATGATATTTTAATTGTCTGTTAACCCCTATTTATTTTGGTACCAAAAGGTATGATTTAATAATATTTATAATATTAATCGAACAATTTTAATTAACTTGTATGAAAGGACATAAAAGTAAATATAATATAAAGTTGTGTATCATACAATTATTTTTTTGTAATAACAGAATTTCGATTGTTTAATGTGAATTACACTTATACGAAATGCTAATCTAAAGTTTCCGGTAAAATTCGAAAAGAACTATTAGAATCGTATCAACTCTCTCATAGGTTTCTGATGTTGACTAAAATGAATAAAATAACTTTAGTCGTTAAAATCATAAAGATACAGATATCGAGTTCTATCGTATTAAGCACAGTGCTATTGACAGCTTTACATATTGTGCTAATACATGAAAAGAGATAAACGCTAAAACATGAGGAAGGAAGAGGAATGAAGGAAGGGCAGAATAAATTAGAATGAAAAGGTGAGTATAGAAAAATCGACAAAACCAGTAGAGCATACACTGAAAAGTTAATTGATAACTATATATCTACACGTCCATAAAGAAATACATAATTATGAATATTTCCATTGCAATAATAAATGCCAAATAATATCTATGAAGAAAGTTATTAGTACAATATAAAAGAGAATATTTCCATTATTATAGTACTTATTCGTAATAATACATTCGGTTATATATGATTAATCGTAGAAGCTCGTGTATTGATATAAGTATCATTCCGTAGAGTCGGACTAAAAAAGAGAAAAATGATTGATCTATATAAATGTTCCAGTTTTGCTGCCAAAGAAACAGAGAATCGTTCCACATTTGTAAAATGCACTTGTGAGATGCGCGATAACATTAATGTCAAAATATGCAGATATGTAGTGATCGACTGCTTAAAATATTATTTTCTCTGTAAAACTTTTTAAACAGTAAGACAATCATATTTAAGAAATGTGGTTTAGGTAGTTATTATTGATTGATATTGATTATTATCCTGATATCAATACATTATAATTAATTCAAGATCATTATACGAATTCTCAATAAAAACAGTGAAACATTTACAAAGGACCTTAAATAACATACATAAGTTTTGTCTCAGATACAAACTCGACCTCGTCTAATTGAAATAAAATCGCAGTATGCGATCGATTTGAGGTCAAATTACTCAATGAAGAAGTTTTGTCTCTGTATATCCGTCACAGAAGAGTGGAATCTGACGAAATACATTTGATTTGACGTCGTCATGGTGAATGTCTATAAAGAGAAGTAGAAAGAGCCGGCATTTGGTAGGCCACAAAGGCGTAGCCAAACGAAGAACTGAACGTATGGGGTGCAGAAGGAAGAGCGGGTAAGGGAGGGTGTTAGTCACTAGAAAACAGGTATCCGCCGTAGGCGTCGTACGTTCATTGATAAGCGTATAACGCCCCGTGCCTTAGACTCGTGACGTCACTCAATCGCACGGACGCCTGCGCTTTTGTCAGGGCCGTGCCTATCACGCGGTTCTTGCCCCTATACTTTTTTCTATTGAACATTAACTACGTAAGTCAAATTGCAACTTCTTGATGTAGTAAGATAGCTATTCGATATTTAAATATAAATACTAATATAGCTTCTTTCACTTGTAGTTTGCATATAGTTATTTATTACATAATTTTACGTGTGATTGCTATAGATTGCGAACGTATAATAATATGATTAATAATGTTCTATAAAATGTATAATGTGAATTTAATAAGCTTAAAACGATTACTACGTAACTTATATACATACAATGGCTTTCAGGAAGAATTCTTTCACGGTCCTATAACTGTTGGGAGTATCGTATTGGATTTCAAGAATGGAAAGAAATAGAAGGCAACAAATCTCAGTAATTATTGGCTTGCAAAATTCTCATGAATCTTGGCAATTCTCTGATGTTACGAATAGTCTAGTTTCTTCGTCTGGTTTCATTCGTATTAGATGATGCTTATGCCACTGAAAAATAAAACGAAATGAAAGGCAAGTAACATAGAATGACGAATGAAGAGAGAACATAGATTCAGAAAGGCGGAGTGTAGATGGATGTAAGCACACCGGGTAAATGGATGGAAAGAGAGAGAGAGAGAGAGAGAGAGAGAGAGAGAGAGAGAGAGAGAGAGAGAGAGAGAGAGAGAGAGAGAGAGAGAGAGAGAGAGAGAGAGAGAGAGAGAGAGAGAGAGAGAGAGAGAGAGAGAGAGAGAGAGAGAGAGAGAGAGAGAGAGAGAGAGAGAGAGAGAGAGAGAGAGAGAGAGAGAGAGAGAGAGAGAGAGAGAGAGAGAGAGAGAGAGAGAGAGAGAGAGAGAGAGAGAGAGAGAGAGAGAGAGAGAGAGAGAGAGAGAGAGAGAGAGAGAGAGAGAGAGAGAGAGAGAGAGAGAGAGAGAGAGAGAGAGAGAGAGAGAGAGAGAGAGAGAGAGAGAGAGAGAGAGAGAGAGAGAGAGAGAGAGAGAGAGAGAGAGAGAGTCAAAAGGGGAAGGAGCGACAAGGAAAGGAAGGGATGTAAAACGTAGAGAAGAAGAAAGATAAAGAAGGATAGTTGGAGTAAAAGGAGAGGGAAAGATCGGTGGATTGTCTCGCGCGTATTGATTGGTCTTTTGTGAAAGCTACACCCTCATGTAGCTACGAGACAAACCATTCTGTAAAGTCACTAGACTTCCAGGGTGTATCACACGTTTCCGAGTTGAGTCGTATGACGACTCTACGGCCATGTTTGATTTCTCTCGATTAAGATTACATTTTCCTAAATTGCATTCTGTTTGATGATCTTTAGCCGACCATCGATGCTATGTTATATCAATGTCTTCGAAGGAAACTGCTTTCTAGAAGATTGAGAAAGATGATGAAAGATGATGAAAGGAACAGTAGGTTAGGGTGCTATATTGGGGTAGGAATGACGTAAGCGATCGCTCGTGATCCCTAGCTGCGAAGGGGTTCTATATCGGTATCGATCGTAAAGTGACCCATATCTGGTGGTGACGGGAGTTCCTACCCCTGGCTGCTTTTCCAGCGACAGCACCCCTCGCTACCACCTCTCTCGCTCTTTCTCTCTTTTTCCCGGTCCTCTATCCCCTCTAAGTAACTGTACTCCCGCCAGAACCGTGTCTACCCCCACTTGTTTCCCCTTTCCTCCGGTGGACGAGCGAATATACCTCCTCCCCCGATTTCCAGCAGCCCTGCCGCCTGCCTTCCACGGCCGAGCAGATCTTGGGGCTTGTACGGGATGATAGCCGAGTGAAAAAGCTCGTGAGTCCCGTGAAGTTCGCTCATCAGCAGCAGCAGCCCTGGCCTGCCACAATCCCTTCGACTCGGTCATCGTAAGTGTCGTGCATCCCGTGAAAGAAACGAAACCAACATCGTGAACAAACCAATACGATAGATTGTGTAAGATTGAATTCTTGAATAGAAAGAAAAAAGAAAGGAAAAAGAAGTTCGTTAGCTTTGATTGAAAAATAAGGAGAGAAGGAGAGTAAGGGAGAGTGTGTGTGTGTATGAGAGAGAGAAAGAGAGAGAGGGAGAGAGAGAGAGAGAGAGAGAGAAAGAGAGAGAGGGTAGAATGAAAGGTATATATTTCTGATTGGAAGAAACGGAGAGAAATTTGTTACCGTGGTACATAAGTGCTCGTGTGCAACTATAAAAGTGTCAAAGCGGAACATTTCTTCGAGGTCTTATAAATGTGACTGAAAGAAAGATTTCACGCTCGAATCTTACACGAATTACCCGAGAACGCAAGGTAGAACATTTTTTCACGGTATCGTTGCAACATTCAGAAAAAAAATATCGTAACAAAATCAGAGTAAAGAAACGGGGAAAACGACCTAGTGAGGGAAGTAACGTAAGAACAGTGTCAGTGAGGAAATGGAGACGGCGATGGTGGCACGATTTTTCATCTGTATGATTGGTATCGCGAAGAAACGTATCGAAGGGCTCCGCTAGTTGTGTCGACGTCGCTGCTACTCGTGGTGATAGCAGTAGGCAGTTCATAGTGATAGTGGATGCTTTACGTATCGTCGTGCAGTGGTGTCCCGTGCGCACCGGGTGTATATGTATACTACGTACCATTGGTAGTGAGATCAATAAGCAGTGCCGTGCCACTCGACCCGTGCTCATAGACAGAAACTCATTCTGAATCTCTCCTTCCTTCTTTCCTGTATTTAACTATCACCCTCAACCTTTCCTTTTCCATCAACCAAATGTCGAGAGGTCACTTTCATTTGTTTCCTTTCTGAATTTTTTATCGTGTCTCAAGAAGCGTAAAACAAGTGTCTTTCCTTTGAAAGAACAAGCCATTGGTTCGCTCTTTCGATGTGTTACCGTATTATGTGTATCGGTGTCCATCCGTTTCTTTCTACCCTGTTTCTTTTGGTCTTCGCATATTTCAACTGCTTCTTTTTCTACACGTCCTCAGATTGATCTAAGGTAGCTTTCATATTCATTCCCTAACGCGTTACATTTTATATATTCCACTTCTCTTATTCGATAAATTTAGTTTTCTTACTTTTTTTTGCGTAACTTCTGCGCTTTACCCTTATCGTTTCTATTGGACTTGCGTATCATGAGCAAGCTGAAACATATTTCTTCTTGGATCAAGCGTTTTCATAAAATAACGTTCGTTCGCTTATAGTGTTTAGATATTTTTGATATTCTACTGGTCCTTCGTATTTTTTAAGTATATTTAATTAAATCGCTGTGATACACGTATCGCGTAGTGTTACATGGCAAAAATCGTAAAATAAAGCAGCAGGGACGTTCTTGAATTCGTTATAACTAGATGTCGGCCGCTATATCGTACGTCTTACTACTTGCGCCGAAAATTCTTTGCTGGATTAAAGTGTCCTGTCTGACCGTGATTGGATCGTTCGAGCGTGAAAAGAATTAATGAAATTATGAAAAGAAAGAACCGGTGAAATTGAGCTGTTCTCGTCGCATTGAGATCAAATAATTATCCAAGTAAAAGTTAGTTTTTATTGTCGAGGATAAACTGTTTTAAAAATTAATGCAGATTATTTTGTAGCTCGAGGAATAGAACCACGTTTAGACACTTCTATCTTTAACGGCACATGTTCTTGGTTGCACAACGAAAGACGGATATACGGTTGATTTTATTCGGTTATTGATTTAAAAGATAACGCAAATCGTATACGCTTTGGTTAAAATTGAACATATTGCAAGGTATAAATGATACGAAAAGAGATTAGAGCGATCGTCGCACACTGTGTTCGTTATTCCGTTTTTGTTCAACTGTAACGATAAACGATTTTAATTCTCCTTTAATTTACGACAGAACGTCTGGTCTTTTCACGTTTTATTTTCCATTTTAACGAGCTATTTGAAATTATTCATCGTACTATTAGTGGTTTTCCTTTTAGTTAACGATAATACTCAGTTATCCTGTCAGCAAAATTTAAGCTCCGTCCAACATACATATTTCCCGACAATGATGTAAGAAAGAAACCTATTAGATTACTTAAACGTAGTAGTTTCGAATGCAACAAATTGTTGATCGTTGGATATTTCAGTAATTTCAAGCGAAAAATATGAACACATTGTGCGGTCAATCGTAGAATTATAAAAAACAAAAATAACAAAAGGCAAATATCCGAGCGTGACAAAATTCATTAATAGTCGTGTTCAAAGAATCAAGTTCCGTTACAACTGGGAATACGATAATTGCATAGGCATGCACGAGTATAGTTTTTTTTCTCTCGAGTGCTTTCATGTCGAAAATAACTCGTCGGCTGATGAGATTTGATTCACGCGATTTCTACCTCGAAGAAATGTTTTTCTTGAAAAATTTCACGTTCACGTAAACGCGACATGCGACAGGCTATCGCGCGAGTATAATAATCAACGTATCGATAAATTTGATATAAATATCAACGATGTTTTCCGCGTTATTCGGCTCGAGCGTAAAGTAAACGAAACAAAGGGCAACTTTTGATCATATCGGGTATATTTCGATCGAAACATTCCGAAGAACCTGTTGCCAGTAATCCCGTTGATTGAATTTCTCCCATTTAGAGGCAGTGCTATCAGTAATTTGTAATTGAGCTCGCGCAACTGCAGTTTACACGCGTCGATCGTTTTTAAAGCTGTACGAATGAGGCGACAATTGGGTTTCACGCGCACCTTCCACGTGTCATTATCACGGAAATCGTTGCGACGTTATCGTTGTTCGTGTACCGAGCGCGGCGTATGTGGCATGTTGATTTCCGTTTAATCCTCTATATATCAGCTCGTAATATATTGCTGATTAATCGGATCTTTAACGAAAAAGAGAAATTACCGTAGAATAATGGTAGAAGGAAAGAAAGATAGTAGAATACGATGTGATCATTGTTGTCGCTATATACAGAGGGTTGAATGCGAAAAGTATCTTTTTTCATGATTATACGTGCGAGGAGAGTAACCGACTATTTTCAGTCGATTTACACTCGGGGTCTAAGGGTATCGTGGGAACACGATGAAAAAAGAATTCCTTTTCGCATCCAGAGAATTGTACGCCTAATCGTGGGATCGTCGTGTGCAGCCTGGCAGGCCCCGCAAAAGCCGCCAATTAATTAAGATAGCTCCTAGATACACGGTAGATCGATAGGGACTGGCCGTGATAAAGACGGGCGAGGGTTTCAGACTTCAGGGATGTTGCAGTGCTGTGGTGTTGGAGGTGGCGCTTCCACGGCACCTCAGGCTCCGCAGCTGCAGGATACCGGATCTGCTGTCGGGATTACCACCTCCACGAAAACCACCATCATGCAGGACGCAGTTCTTGAATCCATCCTCGAGGTAAATGTCGTCAACTTTCAAATTTTTTAATTTTTATTCCTTCCTACTTTTCTTCGAGACGCTCTTCATATATCACTTTTGATTTTTCTCAATTTTTATGAATTTTCTTTCGTTCGCAACGCTTAGCCATAACCACAGAGATACCATCGATTTAATCCTAACTCGAACTAAATTACGTTGTCTTGAAATTTATCGATAATCTGTTTATGAAAAAAAGAACGTTTCGTTTAGTATGAAGATCGAAACACAATCAAGTATTACGTATAAGAATAGTGGGCACGTAATAATCATATGCTGTAATAAGTATCACGTGATTACGATCGGTTTCGAGGGTCGACAGAAGCTTATCAACGAGGTGTTCGTCAGCCGATAAATACTGATGTCCTAAGCAAATTTTGAACGAAAAAGATTCGTTTTAATTAAAAGGTAACCCGCAATAGGGTTTTAATAATTCTCGCCACTCTCCTTCTTTCTTCTTCGGTTCGATCGTTTTTTAACATTAGATAGTCCTCGCTAGAACGAACAAACAAGTTTGCGTCGAGTAAGTTCGATTGTACCTGCCTTCCAGGCATTCAGAATACAAAGGCTCTTTTCGTTATTAATATCGCGCAGATGATTCTCGTTGTGCATCGTGTCTTTCAATCAAGCGTCCCTCCAGGTTATTAAAGGTGATTATCTACCTTCAACCATAAATATTAAGCGTAACTTGACGGTCAGATTTTTCAGATTTTTCAGATTTTTCAGAACTGATCTCTGTTGTGACAAAGTGGCACAAACGGACATCAATGTATTCTCTAACCGCTGGTGGACATCTATCATTTGCCATTTAGCTTACGAACTCGTTCACATTAAGAATTCTATATTTGTCTTGTTGTTTTGAGTTTCATTTAGTGTTAAAGAAAAGAATCTGTTTCGAGGAAGTTAATTATTCTTAATCATACCGATATGGTGTTTCTAGCAAATGCGTGAAACGGAAGCTCGAAAAGCGGATCTGGAGCGCCAACATGCAGAAGCACAGAATCAGCTACACGAAAAGATAGCAGGACGATATCAAGGCCCGGAATCGGTTGAAGCATTGCAATCAAAGATAAGGGAACTTGAAAAGAAGACGGAGTTACAGATGGTCAGGCACGAAGAATTGTCCTTGGAATTAACAAGCCTGAGACGTGCACGAAGCAGAGGACCTATGGTGGGTCACTCGACGGTCCCGACTACTTGGCCTCCGACTGGTTCTGAAATTGACAGAATAATAGCAAAGATAGAACAAGATAATAGGTGTGTTTCTTGATATTATACTTTACTAACCTTCCTGTCTTGAAACACGCTTTATATTTCACTTCTAAACGATCGATACCTTTCCATCGCTTTTTCGTAATGTCACTCGGTTATTGATTAATCTTATCTAATTTTTATCAACATAGTGCTAGTAGAATGATACACGATTTGGATCATACTCGAGGATCCGTTACTACGCAACAACCCTCAGTTACACAGGGTATTTTGCGATCTAGCTCGGAAAACCTTCCTAATCTCTGTCAACATCAGCATCCACCTCCACATGCTTTGAACCTAGGAATGCCAACACAGATGAGTCACGTATGTAAATAATCATTCGTTTTTATTTCGCTGTGAAGCTATTTCTCTTTATCTCTCTTTCTTGCTTGATCTCTTTGTCTTTGTTTCTTATAAAATGAAAACGCATCGATCGAGAATTTGGAACAGTATGCAGGTTCGCCTATGCCCTTAACGCCAATGATGCCAGGCTGTCCACCACTGACTCCGAACGGGCCGCCGTATCACTACAGCGAAGCAATTCCACCAGCACCGTCGCTCTCCACTAGTCAATCGCAACCTGTTTTTCAACAAAAGATGCAACAGTATCAACAACCGCAACAGACACATACCGAGTTACAGAGCTCTCATTCTCAAAGTGTTCTGCAGGCACAGCAGAAGCAACAAACGCACACCCATTATACGAGTAATCAGTATCAGGAGAGTTATCCGCATACGCAAACCTATCAGCAGCCGCTCCAGCAGCAACAACAGCAACAGCCACAACATTCGGCCTCTACAACGTACCTGACGTCATCGAGCCAAAGCATATTACCTCATTATTCCCAGCCCACACAGACCGCCCAAAGTTTTCAATTGAATGGAAGTCAACAGGTACGAATGAATTCATCCCATTCTATGGTATTTAAAATTATGTTTTAAGTATAATCGCAAATTTTAATTTATGAATTAACATTAATCTGTATGTGTAGGCAACGACATATCCAAGTTTGTCCATTACGTCGCATCCAAACGGAACCTATAGTACAGGGGCGAGTAGCTTTAGTACTCAACTACCGCATCACAACTTTTCCGTTCCGCAGACAAGTATCCCACAAACTACGTTATCCTCGTTGCCACCCTATTCGACATCTTCCTTTCACTCTACTTTGGGTGCACTTACCAGTGTACCTCAAACCGCTCTTTCCTTTTCGAGCGTACCGAGCAGTTTCGTCACTAGTGGATCGACCTATTCCACCGTCGGGACCAATGCTTTTGGCACGTCAGGCGTAAGCTCAGGTATAAATCAGGGTCTCAAAGATTTTCCATTGAAAAAATGTCTCCTTTCATTATATAAAATTATTTCTTTCCTTTTTTTTGTAGGAACCACATCGACAGGCTTATTACAGGCGATAAGCGATCCTCTTCAAGCAATGCAGCAACTATCTGCTCAGTCTCAAGTCAATCAACTTCAACAGCAAGCTATCATCCAGCAGATTCAGCAAAGTTTACGCGCCAGTTCGCCGACAGCACCTGCTACGACGGGTCATCATTTCCTTGGTTCAAGGCAGATGCCAAAGATACCCAGTAGTATACTTCCCAATCCCTTGGATCGACTGACCAATGACAATATTGTAACAGAGGGTCAAGTGGACATGCTGGATATACCCGGCAAAGGCAGATGTTACGTCTATATTGCTCGTTTTACATACGAGCCGTTTCAGCACTCGCCAAACGAAAATCCAGAAGCGGAGTTGCCTGTTCAGGGAGGCGATTATCTTCTTGTTTGGGGACAACCGGACGAAGATGGTTTTCTCGATGCAGAAACTCTTGACGGTAGACGTGGTCTCGTTCCAGCTAATTTCGTCCAAAAATTAATCGGCGATGACCTATTAGAATTTCATCAAGCCGTTCTTGGCCTCAGAGACGTTGATGATTCTGCTTCGACTAATATTCCCCAAGTGAGCAATGTAAGATTATTACGACAAATGTTACGTATATTTCCTTTACGAGGCATTGCTAATTGAGATTTTTGTTTGTTTTTTAGTGTTATCTCCAGGATATTGATCTGGAGTTAGCGGCTTTAGAAGAAGGAAATCGAAATCGACAAGCTGAACTATCTGCTTACGCGGAGCTTGATAATATAGCAGAAGAAGACGAACAAGAGCCACCAGGTTAGTACGTTTTCGTATTATCTATTGGATCTTTCATTATAAAGCATGTAGATCGTGATGAACTAGGTGTACATGTGTAACTGCAACTAGAAATAGCGTGAAAATTATGGATATGTGATCCTCTTTGAGGAATATTGGTGTGCATAGTTGTGTTGTAATTGAATTTAAGTGATAGATATTAGACTGATGTTTCTTAACGAATTCAAAGTATTAAATATTAGAGAAGTTGAAAAATCCTTATGCTTGCGTGAATATTTCATTAGAAAATTATTTCAAATGTATAGTTAGCGACTTTTAATTTGAAAATTAATATGTTGATCAATGTCAAACTTATGATGACGTTATAGTATTGCGCTTTCCTGTTCCAACATACCTTCATCAGACAGCTCTTTGAAATACGTAGTATGTTTCTTCTCATAACACTAACACTCTCTTTGATTCAACAAGGTATATGTATATTCGCAACAATACATATCTTTTAATTACGCTTGTCCCTCAAAATGAGGAAAGCTTAATTGCGTATGTGTAGAATACCAATTTTTTCCATATTTAACTAATTTTTGTTATTTAACGGTTTTCTTTGAATGTAGAATAAATGCATGTTATTTAATTGTTGTAGCAGTTAAAGAATGGTTTCTTCTGTTTGAGAGCAGAGGTAAATGATTGGTGATCAACATAAACGGAATCTTGTACTGTGTTGAGTATTATATGGATGGTCTTAGGTTGGCTTAGAGAATTAGATAGTGAAAGATTTTTAGCTACAGCTAGGCTTGTCTTGTCTTTTTTTCCTGAAGAAGTCTACCTGTTTTCGGACCTAGTTCCGGCGCCGCAGCACCTTACACTCGAGCGCCAATTGAACAAGAGCGTCTTAATTGGTTGGACGGCACCAGAAAATACTCATCAGTTGGAGTCCTATCACGTCTACGTGGATGGAGTGTTGAAGGTTACTGTGAAAGCAACTGAGAGGACCAGAGCATTGGTTGAGGGAGTTGATTCCACCAGGGTTCGTAAGGATAAATTTTTCTCCAGTAGAATAGCGTGCACTTTGCAAAATTTCAATATTATTAAATTCTACAGAAACCAAAGATCAACCACTTTTATAATAGAGTACAAAGTATCTCTTGTTAATTGGTACTGTTGAATTTCACGAGGTTTCGTGAAATTTTTTGCATAACGATGTATATAAATAAACGTAGGAGCTTGTCAAGTTATTCGACTTCGTTTGATTGTTAATTTAGCCACACAGGATAAGCGTGCGATCAGTGACGCATTCACGAAGAACGTCTCGCGATGCCGCTTGCACAATGGTGATCGGTAAGGATGTAGCCTTGGGTCCAACCGCTGTCAAGGCGTCGAATGTAACCGCCACCAGTGCTGTCATATCGTGGATGCCGAGCAATAGTAATCATCAACACGTGGTTTGCGTGAATAACGTCGAAGTTAGGACGGTGAAGCCTGGTGTTTACAGACACACAATTACTGGTTTAGCACCCTCGACAATCTATAGGGTGACTGTTAAAGCGAAAAACCTGAGAGCGACACACTTCGAGGACCAAAACACTCAAGCGGCAAATAATTTAGCATGTCACGTCCATTTCAAAACGTTGCCCAAAGGATTACCTGATCCTCCGGTCGATATCCAGGTTAATAATTGTTCCAATGTATTCCATTGTCATAATCGTTATGATATTTAATGAATAATCGTATGATATTTACGATAGGTGGAGGCTGGACCGCAGGACGGCACTTTGCTAGTGACCTGGCAGCCTGTTGCCCTAAACGGTTCGGCCGTCACCGGTTACGCGGTGTATGCCGATGGAAAAAAGGTCACCGACGTAGACAGCCCCACTGGTGACCACGCTCTGGTGGACATACATAAGCTTATGGGCTTGAACCCAAAGCACATCACAGTTAGGACAAAAAGCAGGGAAAGTCAATCGGGCGATAGCTGTGCTACTGCCATTCCTTGTAGCGTTCTTCGTGGCGGGACCGCGACTCATTTGCAACATGGATCTACGCACATGCAAGACCAAGGACAACCTCAGCCTTCTGGTACCGGGCAAGTGGACGACCCGAATAGACATCGTATGGGAGTTGTAGGTCAGAGATATCCATCGACTCCTGTACCATCTCACATAAGGCGACACGGCAATACTAGAGTTGACTCTCACGGCCAAGTTATCATCGAGACTGACGAAAATTTATCCGATAAAGAAATTTATCCTGGACAGAGCATGTCCCAGATGGGTAAGAGTCCTTAGATAAATCAAACTAGTTTCCATATCCTTAGTAATTTTTTTCAAAATATTTTAGATATCGCAATGAAATACTATTTATTCAAAATGATCGATTGAAATTTTTGAAATTTTGCACGTATTCCCTACTGTCGCTTAGGAGTTCCAGAGATCACCAAAGATTCGGCAAGCGAAGCGAATTACAGCGAGGAAGATGATCCGTCACGCAGAGGTAGAGGAATGCCACTGCATCATGGCAGCCAACATCGATACGGATCACAAATGGGACAGCAAGGACTTCCTGGGACACATCGACCCGGAAGAATGGGTGGTCCTGCTGGTAGACCTCAAGATCCTTACTATGAACACTCGACACAAGGTTCGAATACAGTTACGCTTAAACGTATTGATCTACTAACAATGTGTTACATGTTAACTCTATTTTGCATTTTTTACTCTCATAGGAAGTCAGAGAGGTAGGACTTCTAGTTACCGTGGAAGGGGGATGCAAGCTCAAGGTGGTGCCAGTCATCCATCGAGCAGTGCACAACAAATGAACAAGAGAACACGCTGGTTTGTTGCTCTATTCGATTATGACCCGAAAAGAATGTCACCCAATCCAGACGCATGCGAAGAAGAATTGCCATTCTCTGAAGGCGATACGATTAAGGTCTTTATCAATAGATTTTTTGATTGTCTGTCACGTAATTCATGAAATGTTAACTTGTAAATTAATTTGGTAGGTTTACGGTGAAAAAGACGCGGATGGATTTTATTGGGGAGAATGTCATGGTAGACGAGGATACGTTCCTTACAACATGGTTGAAGAAATTAAAGATCCGAACCAGCCAGGACAGGGACAGTCAGGAAGGAGAGGAAGATGGGGAGATATCTACGCTAGCATGCCTGTAAAGAAAATGATAGCGCTATACGATTATGACCCTCACGAATTATCTCCCAATGTTGATTCCGTAAGTTCTCTAACAAGCAAAATTTCTATCCTTTTATATAGGAACGTATATAAGCTAAATTTATACTTACACACTTTAACATATTTCGATTCCATAGCAAGTGGAACTGGCATTTCAAACTGGGAATGAAATTTATGTCTATGGTGATTTGGACGATGATGGATTTTATATGGGTGAATTAAATGGTGTGCGTGGCCTAGTACCGAGCAATTTCCTCACTGAAGCGCCTGATCAGCCGTCACAAGGACAACTTCCTCCAGGAAACAGAAGACCTCCTGGTCAAAGTCAAGGACCCGGAGTAAGAGGACCGCCTCCTCCGCCTCGAGAACCTCCTCCTACTGGTCATCGACGAGGCAAAGGTAAAAACTTGAAATTAATTGCCATTCGATCTTTTATTCACTACGATGCCGCGAATTATGGTACAAATAGCTCCTCAAGCCAAGTACACAAAGTAGCTGGAACTTTTACCATTATTCTTCAACTTTGCGAAGCGAAATAAAGCTAAATTTGAAATGACAGAGTAAGCAAGCAGCAGAAAACCGAACGCAGTGATAATCAAGATCGAGACTGAGAATGATTTCTACGAAGATAAAAAACACTGGCTCGAGGGGTTGAAAATAAATTCACACTGGCGCCATGTATTCGACCGACATGAGTTAATCTGCTTGAATTGCCAAACGATGATGCGTACGATAATAGTTGCTTTTAAAATGGAAGAAAAGAAGAAAGAAAAAGAGAAAGCTGGAAAACAACTGGACGTCAGTGTGAATAAAAAAATAAAAAAATAAATAAATAAAAAATACAAACAGCAAGCAACACAAGACACGAAACTAGATGTGCCAGACGACAGGCAGAAGGGTTACACAAGTTTATAATTGAGCCATCTAGCAAGGCCCGATCGTCGTTAATCGATGCAGAGCTTACATTTTTAGGGGCGTACCTATCTTGCAAAATTACCGAGAGATTGCAATAGAGGGTAAAGCAACGTGTCAACTATTTCGATAAGGCATTCGAGTAAGTCACCCGGTGCGTTTCTTCTCAGGAGATTATTTTAAAATAGCATTCTGATAGCAAGTTTCTAGGAATTCGTTCGAAATTATCACAATATGAACGTCCGATAACGAGATTAATGTGCCCGCGCAATGTGTGAAAGCTATTTTGTATTTGCAAATTTTTTTAGGAACACGTGTATTGCCATATGCAAAACGATTTTCTATATCTCTACCTATCTATCTATTTAGCTATCTATCTTATCTATCTAATATATTGTATATATATGAATATATATATACAATAAAACACTAAGCTGCTTTCAGTGTTTTCTATTAGATACAAATGCATAAATATGTATTTGTATCTACGTATGTATTATATTCGTACTTTTTCTTTCGAGCACTTTTCGGCTCTGTTACTTTTTTACGTGCCTATCTTTTTCCTCTATATAACATATATATATACGTGTTATATTTACACTGTATACATATACATATACATATATATACATATGCATGTGTGTAAGAAAATATATATGTATATATGTATATATATGTATATAACTATATTGCGTGTATTCTATATAATGACATACTATGTTTCTGTGTGCCTGAACTGGTCGATGGTCGTCGTGTCACATGATTGTCGTTCGTGTCGTGTTGTCATGCTGGCCATTTAGACATTGAAGCAATTTACTCTTTCTGATGACTCATTTCGAGTTATTAATACGATGTTCTCTATCAGATTTCGTGTCTTGAACTATAAAGAATAAAGTCGCGAGAAAAATTTAACTATATGCGCAAGTCCAGGTTTTGCCGAGTAATCTAGAACTTTACTTTTTAAGATGTTGGAAGTAAAACATTTAAAAAAGTAAAGAGATACCGAAAGTTGAGATAAAAAATGTAAAAAGGTCTGATATTAAATGAGTAGAAACAAGAAATAGGAACATAGAAGGGAAAAAAGTACAATTTCATTAGAACGAAGAAATTATTACTTGGCATACTCGACAGCGCGTCTAAATGTCCATCTAGAAAGGATAAATGCGCCATGAATGACAACACGGTCTTGTTCTCTTCTCTGTTGCTAGATGCCTGCATTGTGCCTGTGTCTGTCCCTGTCTGTCACTTAGACTCTAGACAACAACAACAACAACAACAACCACCATCACTAATGAACAACCAACAACATCAACTCCAACATCAACAAAACAATCCACCGCATCTAGCGTACCAACAAGCGAATCACCACAGCTACACGACTGTAACCACGTCCAATCAACATGGGCCCACACCTATGGGTGCCCATCAGCAAGGCCCCGTACCACCCCACCTTCAACAGCAGGTGAGTCCACTGCTCTATCCAGAAGTTTTCACTTTTGCTTCTCTGCGTGCTTTCTATCTTCTCGCTGCAAAACTTGTACAATTGTTCAACTATATTTCTTTCGTTAGTTTCTCCGAATTCACCGTCACGCTTTAGTTTCTAGTTAGATACTTTTCTAAGTTTTTTTTTTGTTATCGTTCCTCTTTCATTTATGGAAGGATACCCAAAGAATGATAATCGAGTCCGATGGCTTTGACAATTTAAGGATTGAAAAATATTTTCAGTGACTCAGGTATGTTTTTGGAAGTTCTAAACGATCGATGAATTAACAGTATTAACTGATATTGAATATTTTTTGACACGAATATTCGATATTTGTGATATGATATATTGTTAGAAGGCCACGTAAAATTTACCTAGTGTATTTATACAAGACGTTGATGGAAATTACTTCCTGCAATTATTATCATACGCTGATCGATTTCGTACAGTGTTGAAATAGCAATTGCTTCTAACAGTAATAGATCGAGAAATTTTACAATTATACGAGAGGAAAAATTGTAAAATTTTCATTAAGAAAGCAGCATTCAAAGACACGAGCTATTCGTATCTAACATCTATTTGGCATGGAATTGCATTTGATAGACTTGTATCTAAGAAGTACGATATTTCAATTTTACTACTAACACTTTCGAATAAATATTAACAAAGGAAATTTCTAATACACTTTATTAACAATACTTGCGGTAAAAGAACCGTGGTATGTACAGCTTGTCATTAAATGCTTCTAATTAATAGCCGTCTAAGCATTAAGCATGTATAATAGCCGATACGTAAGTTGCACGAATACGCAGTAATCATGCTTTTTTAGTAACTGAAAACACTATATTTTCCTGGTGTTCAGCTATTCCTCTCTTCCTTTTTCTACGTTTGTCATTTTTCATCTCAGCTCCTGTTCTGTACGATTCCATTTAGTGTATTTTTCCATTTTCTAACAGTTGCGTAAAGTTTGAGCGCCACACAGGTCAACATATCGTCACACTGATCGAAAATAACGACGTTATAAATTAGTTAGTTTATAAAGCGAAACGAACCACTTAATTTTGTTTCGAATATTACGTCCTAATAAGCACATGTTAAAATACCTTTTCACATTATCGCCCCCTCATCTAGGTAACGATAAATCAGCATATTAGTACAAATGCATTACTTCTCATAGAACATCGTAAGGTAGCTGCGATATAGTAGGGAAAAAGCGAGACATCATTGTAATGTGCAACGAGACGATAAATAATTAATGTTCGATTAGATCGAAGTTCAGCGGCATCATAAAGGAATCTATTTCTGTAGAATAAAAATATGTTTCTGAACTTTTCAGGGTACCAAGCACTCGAAACGAATACTACAATTAAACGAAACGAAATTAAACTTGCTGCTGCAGATTGTTTGAAAACCTATACGAACAAGTCTATAGAGAACGAAGATACAAGCGAGCATCTTTGTAGTTTATTTAATTAATTTATGTCGCTTCAATTTCTAGGGGAAGGGGAGGGGAGGCGCGATCAATCGTGGTAGTAATGTGCCAGGAGGTATGCAGGGCCTTGGTCAGCAAGATTATCAGCAACAGAATCAACCGTACCAGCAGCAACAGCAGAATCCGCAGAACCAAAATTATCAACCACAGAATCAAGGTTATCAACAACAGGGTGCAGGATTCGGTCCCCAAGGCCAACAATTCCAGCAGCAACAGCCTCAGCAGCAGCAACAACAACAACCGAATCAGCCGTATTCGCAACAGAACCAAGGTTCCTCTATGCAAGGCAATCAGGGCACGAGTAAGCCGATGAGAGGAATACCAACGGTGTTACCGACGCCTCAAGCGAAGGCGCAACCGAATACTACACAAGGCCAACAACAGCAACAACAGCAGCAACAGCAGCAGAGTACAGGGCCGAATCTGATGCAAAAATTCACGGAGATGGCCGGTGCGAGCGCTGGCGGCGATATCCTGTCGAAAGGGAAAGAACTGATTTTCATGAAGTTCGGACTAGGCAAGTGAGTTATTACCCTGCTCGTGTCGCCAGCTCCGCTTCTTCTCCATTTCTG